TTTTCCCGGTTTTACTTTCTCTCCCTCCCCTTTTTTCCTCCCCCCCCCCCCCCCCCCCCCCGACCCAAATACACACCCACACACATTCTAACTATTATAATTAACCAGAAATACTAGATATCCCCCAGTCCAGTCCAGTCCTACCCAATCTACTGCAGGAACCAGAAACTAACTAAACAAATAAACAAACAAATCACTGAATCACCGATACCCAAGCAAAAAGTTAATAGAACGATGATTATTTACACACCAACAAAAAACAAATGACGAATTGAGAAAGAACACTCACTAATGAATTTTAGTTATCAGAAAATTGTTCTAACTTCTAAATATAGTCATCCGTATCTTAAATCTAAATCTACATCTACATTTCCATGACTCCCAGGTATTCCCTCCATGATAAGTATACACTGAAACTCCAAATAGTAATACACGAAAAGATATCCCACTTTCCTTCCCACCTCCTCATAAGTACATCTACCTCCAACCACAAAAACAATCACCACCCAACCTAAGAAGACAAAATAAAACAAAACAAAAAAAAACTAAAAAGAAATACAAAAACCCTAATCAGAAAAAGTAACCGACACCTTCCCACCATTATTAAACCCCTGACAACCACCCGAAGGTTGACCATCGGCCAAACCAAAACTCGCACCCTTCTGACTACCCGCCGCACAATTAATCAAAGAATACGTCCCCGCATTACCACAGGTATTTCCACTCTTGCAAGTAAAGACACACTTAGACATATTGGAAGTGCAACCACCGACTTCGATGGACATGGAATTGCCACCCATGTGGACCTCGCGAGAAACATCTACCGTGGCATAGGCACCGGTGGTAAATTCTCCCCATGTATTGAAGATTTGACCATATTGGCTCAAGGTGGTCTTTTGATTGTAAAGACCTGCGAATCCGCCGGATACTCCATTTGCCATGGATATGGAGATGGATTGACCAGCGTTTAATGAATATGAGATTTGAGGCTTTCTTGCGTTCATGAAAGAGCTTTGATAATCGCCAGGAGCTTGAGTCCAGACGATGGCAGTGACAGCAGCTTTTGCATTGTTCTTGAAAACAAATGTATTGGGTCCTTGGCTTCCAATCCAGACTCCGCCATTAGCAGCCTTTGCATTTGTTCCCATGCCGGCCATCCCGATAGTCGACATGTGTTTGCAATCTGTGGTGCTAAGGCCAGCGACAGGACTGGCACATGAGAAACCACGTTTCTCGAGAGTGCTCTCGCTGAGTCGTTATGTTAGAAAAAATCAATAAGGAAAATGTGCACAAGGTACTAACCCTGGAACCGCAGGAGCAGCTAGTGCAAGGGAGAGCATGCTCATCCCGGCGAAAATACTTGAAGTAGAAAACAACATTTTAGGTATTTACTGAATTTTGTTGATATGTAGATCTTAAATTGCGACGTTTGAGTTAAGTTTGATTGAAATGACTGTGGTAGGATCTAAAGGAGTGACTTTATATAAAACTTTTTAAAAAGAAATATGACTGAGAACAGGCATGAAAAAAGGGGTGACAAAAATGAGTGACAAAAGGGTGAATGCAGAGATTGTGAAAATTCGAGTACTGTTTTAAAAAGATCCAGACGCGGAAAGAAAAAGCTACTGGTGGCTGCTTAAGTATAAGAACGAAACCGTCCATGAGGCACTGCTGATAATTGGAATGCTGGGCCTCTGAGTAGGAATGTGCCCTCCAATAAGGAAAATGTAAATATTCCTAAATTACGTAAATTGAATCTATGAATACTACATCTCGTTTGAAAAAAGATCCAGAAACAACTTTGTCCCTGTCAGAGTTCATTGAGAGGCCAGTCAAGACCGTTACTTGATGTGAGGATGCTTCCAAATGTAACATCAGATCAAGAGGCCCCAAATGCTATTTTCAGCACGTGAATGCAAAGGGAGAGCATCAAGCGAGGTTTCGAATTGTTTGGCCGAATCAGCCAATCAACAGGAGTAATCATGTCGTAAGGATTTGAGATGAGGAAAGCCCATGTCGATAGCAATGAGATAATCTAATTTCCCGAGATCCTAATCGTGGGCTGTGTACTGGCACGAAACAACCGAATATCACGATATCCAAACCCGAGATAAAAATCTTACGTTGGACCTTGAATCTCTAGCAAATTTCAGCTATTATTGAAGAAATGTCAAGGCTACGCCTTGTAGGAAGAAACATTTTTGTCAATGACCGCTTCCATAATTATCTGAACATGCCATCTCGTGGCAGTCACTGAAATTTTCAGTCCACACGAAACGAAAAGACACTTTTGATATTTGTCGAGAAGTGTAAGAACTGCATCTCTTGGCAGCCGCCGTCAAAAAGCCCTTGATTGTGGCCTCATGCGGGCATCTACATGTCTTGGCAAGCGCCGGTCAACAGCCCTCGATTTTGGCCTCATAACCAGGTGTGCGTTTCAGTAACACACATGTTTGCTATCCAATATCCCAATTGACCAGTTATACGCGTCATTAATGGTTCATTCTGACCCGAGTTGAAAGATTGGGCTGCTTGGAATGTGTGGTGGCTGATTGAATGATAAGATTATGAAGCTGACTTGCTAATAAGTTCATTGCTGGGAGATTTTGTTGACAAAATACTACGCTTGGCTCGTGCGCTTCCGCACCCGATTATAAGATAGGAGTCCACGTGATTGACAAGAAATTACATGAACTCATTCCTCACGATGAATGATCCTTCGCCGAGATTAATCCTGAGTATCAATCCTAAGTATCAGATTTATTAAGCATCAAAGCACTCATTGGATATCGGTACTTTCGTTTCACTAATCGTAAAAAGCAGACTTAAAGTCTCGTGTGACACATCACGTGATAATCCAACCCCTCCAGCTCAAAGGTATATCTGCGCTGGGTACATAGAAGAATCATCAGTTGCAAAGTATTTGCTTTTTGCTCCAGACTAAATAAATACATTCTATAAGTTGGGAGTCTAAGCTAGAGTGTGATGACGTGAGTCAAGAAGCTCTCAGTGTTAACAACTCTACTTCTCCTCGTTCCTCACCCCTCCCTCCACTTAATCACAACTGCACAACACTCTACCCACCCAATAACCAATATCAAAAGAACCCAAACCATCCCAGCTTCAAAACACATCCGTCTACTGGTGTACCCAATAATCTAACTATCCATAATATCACATTCATACAAATACACACCCATATCGATCCATCAATCAGTGTCTGTCTATCTACCTAATATGATAAGATCTTACTCCAGTCCTCATCCAAAATACCATTCATGTTCTTTGATTCTTTACCAGCTGACACATACGACCATAGACTGAGGAGAATTGGGCATCCCGTCCGCTCTGCCATACACAAGCCTCAGATCGGTAGATTAGTAGTTGGGTGGGTGACCACCAGCGAATCCCTCCTGTTGTATGTATTTTTGTGATTTTTTTTTTGAGTTTTTGTATTCAGAGATGATGGATGGTGGTGTAAAGGGCGATGAGAATGTGAATGCCAAATAAATACTCCAGTAGTGATGAGAGACATGCTCTCCTATCTTAACCTAGTAGGCGAATCTCGTTTTAGTCTCACGAAGATTCTTCACATAAGCATTCTCCTATTCCCATCTCTCTCCCTTTCCTTTCCTAACCAAAACTCAACATCCTCAATGCCACGTTCCATTAGCCGGTCCAAATCTACCACTTTCAGGCAATTGTAACCACGGAAGTCCATTACCATCTGCCGTGTTAAGATAAACCGTATTACCTACATTATCTCAAAATTAGTCCATATTATAACTTTTCAAATCCCCCTTCCCTTCCTCCACTCTTCCAAATAAAATCAAAAAGAACTTACCCCACCAATCAGGAAACTGAGCTCCAGGATACGTGATGCAGAAGAATATGACGATTGCCGAGAGTGCAAGACCTGTATCGAGTGCAGCTGCTAAGACATAATTGTATTTGGCTTAATTTTGAGTGTTAGTTTCGAAATCTTCGGGGTAGAAAGAATGGTACTTACACCACCATGCAAACCACTTCGCTTTTATCCACCAGTTAAAGGTCAAGTTAACTAATGCCCAACTACTATAGTTAATTCCCGTAGCAGGCGGCACATTATAGGTTCCGACAAAGATTAATGGCCAATTGATGAGTCGTATCCATTTTCTTTCTTCTCCGTTATTCTTCCTCCAGTACTTCCAAATAACCCAAGTAATAATTGGCATAATTGCACCGATCCAAAAAAAGTGCAAGAGACCGGAATAGATCTTTCCGATTGAATAAACTCGTCCAGGGCCGATTGCTCCCCAAATGACAGATGAGGAAAAGATTGTACGGCCATTTGGACATGTAAAACCATTTGATTGATCTTCCGAGCAGATGTCTTTGACGTTTCCAAGCATCCAAAGAGTTACACCTACTTGTGTGAGAGCTCCAAGAATCTAGATTGTTGTTAGAAATTGTCTGCGTCTCGTGAGTATTTGAATAAGCTTACAGTGGCGCTTCCTTGTGCGAAAAAGAGCGTTCGAGGTGGAACTTTCATGTAATGACCTAACTTCATATCTTGTGCAAAGTACAGGCCTTGGCCTACTACATCCGTAGAAAGAACCTTGAAAATTATGTCTGTAGTTGGTAAGTCAGACTGTCTTTTTTACAAACTTAAAAGGTATACATACTTGCCAATGGTCGCCCAGTAAACATATATCCCCCAATAAATTCGGCTAGAACATTCAATTGATTTGCATCCACATTTGTTATCCCCTGAATAATACCACATGGAATCATGTAAATTGCGGGAATGATTGCTGCTAGCAAAACCGCCCACCATGGTAAAGTTGTATGATAAACCTCAACCATCACAATACCTAGTATCATTATTACAATAGTAATAGCTCCATACCAATACCAAGGGGTTTGGGAATAGAGGCGCATCAAGCGAGCGTGGATGTCCATTTTAGTACGACCTGCGAATGCATCACGGATTTGAGTACCATGCCAGATATATATATGAACAGGAACAGCTGTAAGGGCGGCAAAAGATATTCCATAGACGAAAGCAAATGTAGCGGGAAGAAAAGGAGGCGAGTATTCAGCATATGCAGTTGTGTTTAGAGTATTTGCTGAAGTCATCACCCGAGAAACGTTATAGAGGGATGCGGTATTATCATATACATCAGCTGAACAAAGTGGTAGATAGGCTGTGTACCAAACATTTGCATAACTGTGAATAAAAGAGTTAGTGGTTAGACTAACATGGAGTAGTATTGTTCTTAGACTTACTAAAGACCCGGGGTGACAATCCAAAAGAAAATAATGAAGCCACCAAATACGTTCATAGCTGTAAGTATTCGTTAGCCATATCAATAAATATATAAATTAGAGATACAACCTACCAGCCCATGCCGGAGAGAGGAGAGGATTCGTGTTATAAGCAACTTGTGACCAATCAAAAGTGATAGGACTCAACCCAAGACCTGTAACCATTCCGAACAGATGATTCACAATTAAATTGTTTGGGGCGATCCAACAAACCCATGTAAAGTACGAAAGAGACACAAATATTAATCCAGGGAAGAAATACCAGACTCCTGCCCCAACCATAACGTACATAAAAAATCGAAGTCGACTAATCTTCCAGCCATTGGCCATGGCATTGGCTCGAGAATGTAACGTGGAAAGTAAAGCACAATTGGATAACACCCCTGGCCAAATTATAGAAGCAGGTTCTACCAACCAAGGAGATGATAGTCCTGCAACTCCGAAACCCATCATCTGGCAACAAAGTACAACGAGAATTGAGAACCCGGGCTTCAAATCGAAGTTGTAAAATGCTTTCGCAGCTTGAATAATACCCGTTGAGTCTGCGCTACCGTATCCAAAACTCACGTTGCTCATAATGGTTACTACGGTATGTTCCTTTATATTGAAATGTCTGTCGGGATTGATGCACCATTTTCCTAAAGGACCTAGGTTGAGAGTGCAGAGTGGTAGGATCTTTGCCAAGAGTATGCCGAAGGGCATTGCGAGAAGTTCAGCAACGAGTGCGACAATATGGACTGAGGGATAACGGAGACTGAAGAATTGATTGATGCCAGCACCAATCATAGTAAACGCAAATCCTAAAATCCACATCCTAAGAGTATTGACAGGAATGGATTGATCGTCGACATCTGGAACTACAGCTCTAACTAGGAGACATTAGTTTATTAACGACTGGAGAATCTAGGAGCGCGTTCTGACCTTCAGGATATGGCGATGTATCGCCTTCTATATCATCCAATCCATCATCATTGAGTATTTTTCCAACGTCAACCTCCAATTCTTGCATGTGTTCTGGCTCCACATTGATCTCTGCATCTTGAGCTTTGTCGACTTTCTCACTCATGTCTTTTCTAACGTTTTGAGATATTTCTGATGACATTTTGAGAACATTGGGACATGGAAGTGCAAAGTCTCAATGTGTCGCACGAGAGAAATTCAGGATATGTCTCGGCATTTTAATACGATTCGTCCCACAACAACATTGAACCAACATTGTGGCAAAGGTTAGATAACGATACTTCATTATCAAATAACAAATATGTAACCAAGAATACTGCATTTGGTTCTAGTATCGATACTTCGATAAGGAATACTACATCAAGATAAAGAGAACCTGAACTTGGAGAGGGGAACCACATGGCTGTCACTTGCCGGGGGTCAATTTCATGCAAGAGAAATCTCCCAATGTAGCATTGCGTAAGCGCTGTACGATAAGAAATATACACCTTCCTTGTTTGTATACATAGAGATATTCCAAATACGTCCTGTTAAAAATGAACAAGAAATATATCTAATACATCTTGGTTCATGACCAAATTACACAAGAAAAAAAGATCTGTCAACCGGACTTTGAAAAGCTATGTATTTGAGGCCATAGAGATCTTTGTAGTATGATCATAAGCAAAAGAATTAGAAGTCGCTGCATTAGAGACTGAATGAACTCATATGCATGCATAGAGCTAGAATTTGTGCCGCCTGCGAAAATGAATTCCTGGAGTTTGTGCCGGGGAAATGATAACGTCGGGGAAAAGGCCAGCTTCACACCGCCTTCTGCCTTTTGAATCAAAATCGGCAGAATGACAAGATCCTCGAAACGCCAAGATCTAAACTGATAGCATATCTCAAGGTAGGTAGCATTTGAATATGCAGATTTCTAGACTCGTTTACTAGGCCGACAATGGATCCTGCTACATTAACAGCTTCCATCAATCTTGGTAGTATAGAGTCAATAGCCAAATATCAAGTCTCTTTCGTATAATTTGGTTGCAAAGGATAGAGTCGCAGAAAGGAGCTTAAGGAGCCTCGAAATCCTATGTGGTGAAAAGCGATTTTTTTATTTCAAGAGAGAATATATATATGGCTGTGAGGGCTACGACTGTTAGTGCGGTTGGTAGGATCTCACTCACACATATCGAAGTACTTTCTGATGACAAGCCAAAGTTGGTAGTACCAACTCACCCGTTACTTGGTTTCGGTAAATACCAGCTAATAAGTAGGTATCAAATGGGCGACAATGGTGGAAGGCATAGGATATTTGTTAAGTCTTAAATCTTGAAATATAAAACCTCGAGGAGACAATAAAGACTTAGTGGTCATTATCACACGAATATCCTTCCTTTTTCTTTCTTTTTAATATATCAAGACCGATAAGCAACAAATACGCACTACCTTCAAGTATTGGAGCGCAGACGGAACATTCATCGCAGCTGGTATCCTGGTCATGGTAAGAATTGCTACGGGTGTCTGGACACGGAGGGTAGAAGTGTACATAAAGCAAGCCATTGCCTCTAAAAGGAAATGGAGCCTGCCAAACCAATGACATATGCAAGTGCAGCAAATCCAATATTCTTACTGGGCGGGAATAATCCTCACATCTTTGGAGATTTCACTTATTCCAGTTATTTCAGTATTAACATTGACGTCATCCGGCAAAAAATACTGTAAGCCCATCGCTTAATTAGGCATTCCTTGAAGTCAAGCATTAAGATACTACACATTCTCGGCCCCTCGTAAGACCTGCTTCTTAACCTCATATTCTTGCTCTACCATAATTTCGCCTCTATATTCTTATCGTTCATATCTCTTTACGTTTTGATTGTAATGCATCTTCACTTCTGGGATCACTGTTGCCCTTTTCTTTGGGGGGTTTTTTGGTGTCGCTGATTAATCTGAAATTTGACTACGGCTCTGCTCTTTAAATTATGATTCTTCTTTTCTTGGATCATCCATACGTATTTAAAACCCATCCCATCTCACTACATCATCCCAAACCCCTCCTCAAACTCCAAATTCCACTGTCCACACCTCTACCTAGCCCTCCTCCTCAGCCCGAAAATACCCCCCAGTCTTCCTTCCCCTCTCATCGCCACCACCTACCAAAATCTCCTCCTCAAAAACCTCCGCCCTCTTTCCCATCTCCATCTCCATCTCCATCTCCATCTCCATACCCTGCACCTCTCCACCCCCCTCATAATCCCCTAAACTAGGCGGTAAATCCTCTGTCCCCGTCCCCCACAAACTCTCCTCACTCCCCAACCACAAACACAACACCTTCCCCTCCGTAAAAAAACTATGATCAATCCAATTCTTTGTATAAGGTTTCCCATCCAACGTCGCAGATTGAATATAAATATTCTTATACTTAGGATCAAAATTAACATTTTTAATCGTGGCAGTTTTATTAGTGAGAGGAGAGGTAATTGAGACGGATTCGAAGAAGGGCGGGATGATAAGGTAGACATCTTGGCCTGGGTTAGGGAAGAGTCCCATCATGCTGAAAGCGACGAAGGAGCCCATGGCGCCGGAATCGTCGTTTCCGGGTAAGCCGTCGTTTGTGGGGGTGAAAGAGGATGGGATGTAGAAGTGAGAGCGGAGAGCTGAGAGAGCGGGACGTCCGGCATAATGGTATTGATATACGGTTAGGAAGGCTGGTTCGTTGCCAATATAGGTTATGTTGTTATCGTGGAGGTAGTCTAGACGTTTTACAAAAGCTGTTGGTCCACCGAAAGTGGTGATAAGGGTTGCTTGGTCGTGGGGTACGAAACTGGATAGAAATTAGTTTTTGTATATTTCAGATACAACAAGAGAGTAAACCAGGTCAGAATACTTACAAGGAATATTCCCAAATACTACTTTCGAAAGTCTCAGCACCCGTGTTTTGTAATGAACAAACACTATTGGGATTAAAGTCTATATTGCTACACTTCAAAGGATCCTGAAATCCCCATGTTTGATTGAAATACTTTGGTTGGAAAAATCCTTTGAATCCCGTGTCAGTGCCGTTAGAACGATAGGATGTTTGTGCAGCATTGAAGAGATTTTGCCAGTTTTTGCTGCGTCCGAGATACTTTTGGACATCTGATTCGTGGCCTCCTAGACCGGAACCCATACTAGCAATTACAAAATCATTGTAACTATACTCAAGTGTTCTGGAAATACTTCGTGTCATGGTACCAAAGCCCTTGTAATCAACTATATGATATTAGTTCGGAGCATTCACGTGGTGATTTCTGGCGATTCGCATGCGGAAAGAGACATACAATCTTGAACAGGAATATACCCTAGAGCTTTCCATGAATCCAAACCACCACGACCCTCATTTGACCAATCATAAGGTTCCACTTCCGCATCTTTAATTACGGCTTCATAGCCAAGATTCCAATCTATTCCTTCGGTAATACCCTTGATGTAAACATCTGCGAGGAGATTATCTGCATTTGAACCACCTTGAGTGAATCCTTTACAAAGACTCATACGACAGTCAGGAAGCCATCCTTGGTGAACATCTTAAGTGAGAATTAGCTTATCACGTATAATGGGGGCGTAGGTATACTAACATGTGTCGATCAGCGAGCGAACCATTTTAGCTACAGTGGCAGGATCTAACACTGTTAAAAAAGGTGTCTGAGAACGAAACAAATCCCAAATGCTAATATCGAGTTAGTGATGCTAATAAAGCTAACGATTGAATCTCACCAGTAAAAAGAGTCAAAATAAGGTTCGTCACTCTTCCATAGCGGATTCTCGCCAGTGTAGTCCTGAGGATTGACCATAGTCCTATATATTCCACTATAAAAGTTCTTCAAGAAAGAAGCGTCAATTCCTTTCGTCGAAACTTTGATAGGTGAAATTTTTTTGCGCCAAATAGACTCTGCCGCATTCTGCACAGCAGCAAAGTCAAAATCCGGAATCTCTGCCTCAGCGTTTGCACATGCTTGATCACTACTGATATGACTGACACCAACACGTGCCAAAATACCATCGCCAGGTGATTGGAAACGAACAAATGCTCCACCTGGCAGAGGATAGCCGTTGATTGAACGGGATATTTTGAGATTCTTGATGTCAGTACTGGCACGACTATTGACAAATATACCGTTATCTCGAATTGAAGCACCCGAGAAATCCGCACAGAAGTATAGAACATAATTTCCACTGCCGAAACTTGGCAAAAATTTACCATTTCCGGTCATTCTTCCAGTAGTTGCATCAACAGAAATACTGGCATTGTCTTGACGAGAATCAGACAAGTCGGTTAAATCCATCAAGATCAATGGGCTAGAAGCATTTCTATTGGAAGTAGATGGGAATTTGAATCTGAATAATGATGTATGCTGTGTTGTCGTCATATCAGCAGCAATACCACTGGACAATGTAAGACCAAAGTAACCTGGAGATGCCTTGACAGAATTTGAAACGTAAGGAGTGGCTCGCGCTTTCTTTGGATAAGTACATCCATCCACAGTATCTCCTTTGCATCCTGCATACGGAAACAAGGCAAAGTTTCCTAGTGATGGAGAACCTCCAGTCCCAGAATCATGCATACTGGAAAATCCGGTGATATTACTGCCATCAGTTGTAAATCCACCCTGGTTACTACCGGAATTAGTATCCGCAACAGCTTTCGCCATTCCTATAGCATCATTAATACGAGACTTGGTTTGAATACTAAGGCAATGAGAATTTTTCCGGTTGACATCATCACCATTCAATTGAAAGGCTGACAGACTTCCAAAAGCAATCTCATGAATTGCTTACCATAAGGTACAGTTGCACCAGGGAATACATTTCCTTTTCATTGTCAGCAGGAAGAAACGGAAATGACATTCGAGATCCAAACCTCCATTATTACTTCCAATCAGTTGATCAACATAATCGAGTACATCATACGTCGATGAGTTAGAAGTAACATTCTGACCAGCGACCCCATACAAAATCGTGAAGAATACATATAATATGAAAGCGTTAAAGGAAGCCATGCCAGAAATTCCGAGAAAACAATCAAGAAAACGGACACGAAAACTATCACCGTGAAGAAATAAAGATAAACAAAACCTGTAGTATATAAGGTCTACTTGACCATACCACATTACCCCTCAAAAAGTTGAGATACAGGATTAGTATCGCGTGCAGCCGCCCCTGCCTGCGGAGGTTGCATGCAGTTCCCTTTAAGGAAGCTCCCAAACTCTAATCACACGTAGCAAGAACTTTCGTAGTTGGCCATTTAATTACGATTGCTGCATAAATTCAAATGAAATACAAAGTTTAGATTAGCATATAGAACTACTATATGTAAGATGCAGGGGAATCCAGATGTGTGATTGATATGATACACAACAACGAATAAAATGATTCGCTCGACATATCTCCATCCGATGAAAACTTCCGTCCCCGCACTCCTCGTGCAGATCCTGATAAAAGCAACATCAATGCCTCGACCCCTCTTCCAACTACCGGCAGAACACCTATCCACCTGATGAATGTTTCAAATCTCAATCATCTTTCATCTCCCGACTAACTTCTGTCTGTATCTTGCATCCTTTTCAAATTCACCAAATTTATAGATCATCCAAGAACCCAACCAACCAACCAGTCAATTTCCCTGTGCACAATGCATACATCCTATTTATCTGATATCGGATCGCATGATGAATTTGGTCATAACCCGTTATTGTATCCCGTTGTACTGCAGCGATATGCATGGTTACATTATGCATTTGCTGTTGTGATCATTATCCACGTTCTCGTCATGCACCTATCATCCTTCTTCGATTTTGAGGCCTGAAGGTTGTATATTGAGTGTTGGATGTTGTATCGTATTATAGGTGCAGAACGTAATGTCGAGGCAAGAGAATTATAGGAACCGTTGGAATGAGGGACGAAGCTGAGAGTTTGAGTGGAAGTTTTGTTGTGGAAGTTTAATCCCGGCGGGAATGCTCGGTTAATTCTCCGTTTGTATTCGGAGTGCAATAGAACTTCGAGCCCATTCATTTTCAAATAATTTTAGAGGTAACGTGGTTTATCATCGAGTGGCCCATATCATCGAGTGGCCCACTTTCACCTCAATTTACACCTGTCTCTTTCAACACGCGTTTTATCAACAACCTATAATGAATTCGAATAATCAAGAAGCTCGTATACTCCTTGCTATCGAAGTTATTCATAAAGATAAAAAATTAAGCATTCGAAAGGCTGCTATGCTCTATAATATTCCTCGTACGACTCTTCGACATAGAATGGAAGGTTTACCTCTTCGTACAGAAACTCGAGCGAATCGTCATAAGATTACAGAATTAGAAGAAGAGGTGATTGTTCAATATATACTCGATATGGATTTAAGAGGATTTCCACCTAAACTAAAGAATGTGGAAGATATGGCGAATGATATTCTCGAATCGAGGGGTGCGAAACGCGTTGGGAAGCTCTAGGCGCATCGATTCGTAAAGCGTCGAATCGAATTAAAGACGCGTTTTAGTCGTGTTTATGACTTTCAAAGAGCTCTCTGTGAGGATCCTAAGCTTCTTGAAGAGTGGTTTCGACTAGTTGCGAATATGCGAGCGAAATACGGCATTTTGGACGGAGATTTCTACAATTTCGACGAAACAGGCTTTATGATGGGGATTATATGTGCAGCAATGGTAGTAACTAGTGCTGAACGAAATGGCAGAAGCAAGACAGTACAGCCAGGCAATCGAGAATGGGCTACAGCAATAATATGCGGAAATGGAGAGGGTGAAACTATTCCCCCATTTCTAGTAGTTCAAGGACAAGTTCATCTCTCCAATTGGTACACCGAAACGAATCTTCCTGCGGAATGGGCTATTAAACCTACATCTAATGGGTGGACGAATAATGAGACGGGTTTAGAATGGTTGAAACACTTCGACAAGCATACTAAGAATCGAAGAAAGGGCAAATATCGAATGTTGGTACTGGATGGGCATGAAAGCCACGAATCAGTAGCTTTTCAAGCATACTGCAAAGAGAACGATATTATATGTTTACGTTTACCACCGCATTCAAGTCATTTAACTCAACCACTTGATGTTGGCTGTTTTAGCAATCTAAAACGTTCATATGGTGGTCAAATTGATGGATTTATCAAGGCACATATCAATCATATTTCGAAGATTGAATTCTTTATAGCTTTTAAAGCTGCATACGAGGAATCAATCACTTCTCAGAATATGAAATCAGGATTCCGAGGAACAGGTTTAATCCCATTTAATCCTGAAGCTGTACTCTCGAAATTAGATATTCGAATTCGCACACCTACCCCCCCCTCTTTCGACCTAGATCAATGGATCTCTCAAACCCCTCGCAACCCAACTGAAGCTCTTTCTCAATCAACATTAGTTAAATCTCGAATAACTCGTCATCAAGCAAGCTCTCCTACACCTATATTCGAGACTGTACTAGCTCTAGCTAAGGGTACAGAGAGATTAGCTCATGAAAACACACTTTTAAATACAGAGATTCGTACACTTCGGACAGCAAATGAAGCATTAAGCAAGCGTCGACGCGCGAAAAAAACCCAATTACGTCAAGGAGGAGTGCTCACTGGACAAGAGGCTCTTGATATATTATCTCAGCAAGAGGTTGATATTCAGATTCAACGCGATGAGCGTCAAAAAGGGGGGAATTCTAATGGGGAAGCATCTTCTAATCGATGTTGTAGTAAATGCGGAAAGACAGGACATAATGCAAGAACCTGTCAAAATAATGTAATAGATCCTAGATTATTAGATTCTTAATAGTTTCAATCAATTGATTCAATTGTTGTTGAATAATATGGGTTTGAAAGTGTAAATTGAGGTGAAAGTGGGCCACTCGATGATATGGGCCACTCGATGATAAACCACGTTATTCGAATTTTGAACAACAGAATTTTTCATATCATCAAATTCTTGTATCGGAACATAAACAGAACCAAATTTATATCATATCATAATTCTATTGAATTAAACCACAACACCACACAATTCTCCATCCTGATACCCTACAAACAGTCTATATCTATAATACGCCGTCGCAATGCCCAACTAAAAAATACTACAAAACTAACAAATCCATCATCCGCTTCTATCCACCCACCATCCTTAATCTCCAACTTCCACACTCTCCAAGTAATAAAATAATCAAGCACTCCACTGTCTCATCCACAACTCCATCCAATCTTGAGTAACCGGACCCAACTTTCCCAACGTCTCACTCTTGTCTACCGTCTTCTCCGTTTCCAAAACTGCCAATGGAAATCCATTTGTTATGCCCTCGTAGAACTCTAACAATTTGATTCCGCGGTTCTCCTTGATTTCTCCACGTTCGGCGGATGCTCGAAGTCTGGCTACCCATTCGGACCATTCAACAATTTCACATTCGGAACCGATGTCCTTGACAAGGACGGGGTATATTTGTGACCATTCTATGCTTCTAGGGTTGACGAGATGGAAAAATGGAGTAGAAGGGTACTCGGTGAAGTGTTTGGAAGGGTTGGTGAGATCGGCGAGGTCAAGGATGATGTTTGAGAGAACGTCGACTGGAACCCAATCGATGCGATTCATGACTGCCAAGTTCGTAGGTACACATTTCATATATTGTGATGTAGAAACGATCTAATTTGAAATAGATTAGTATCGTGTCTTTTTGGTGGCTAGGTTAGAACTTACAGTAGGGAACCACTCCTGGATATTCCATCTACCCTTCTCCTTCCGAACAGGACCTGATACTTGACCAACACGTAGCACCTGGGTACGAACACCACTAACCTTCTGGGCTTCAGCCACGAGGCGTTCGGATATGAGTTTCGAGGAACCATAACCCATAGCTGCCGAATTCCAATCCTCAATAATGGACTCCGGAATTGCGTTCTCCCAGTTAATTCCTTGTGTGACACCAATGGAAGAAATGAAAGATAAAACAGCGTTATGTTTGCTTTGAGCTGCAAAGTCGATGAGATTGCGTACTCCTCTGATGTGAGGCTCGAAGGAAGCCAGACTCAAGTTGAAGTCAACTTGCCATTGATTATGAATAATATGAGTGACGTTACTCAAGAGCTCATCGTATTTCTCCTGGTCGAGACCAAAATGTGGTTGCGACATATCTGTTCTGAAAAATCGAACCTTGCTGAAATCTGTTTTGAGGCCGTGACTCTCACTCGCCCCTCTTTGTCTTTCCTCGCCATTAACAGCACGATTAAGAGCGTAGACTCTATAGATGTGAGGCAATGCCACCAAATCATCGAGCATGTAACTACCCATAGAACCGGTACTTCCTGTCAAAATAACAGAAATCTTAGTGGTCGGATCCTCAGCGGCATTTTCTGAGGTTCTAGATGGTAAATCCTTGACATATTTTTCAAACATTTGCTGTCTTTCATCAAAATCTGTTCTTGAAGCATCGCCTTCATTGTCTGATGGGTTAGCAAGCTTGTAAAGAACCGATGCCAGAGATTTCACAGTCGGATTATTATAAATCGTGCTGGCTTGTAACTTCTCGGACTCCACATTGTCCTTCTTCAATGCTGATCGCAATTGTCGCAAAAGAGTAAAAACAAGCAAAGAATCAAATGATCCGCTCGCAAAAACATCCTCATCGACATCGAGATCCTTCAGATTAGCTACCTTGACGACTAAAACCTTCAACGTGAGAGTCAACGATTCCAAAGAATCAGTTTCGAGGCTACTGTCATCACCAGCTTCTGCGCTGGAGAAGAGCTCTTCGACTTCCGAGTCGTAGAGCTTGACTGTTGCCACACGTTGAACGGTACCCTTTCCGGCGCGCAGGAATGGCTTTTCGGGTTTAGCAAAAATCACAAAGCCATCTTTGATTTGTGCATGAGATGGCGAATCCTTGTTTGCGGCATCGATGAAAGGTTGAATACGAGTAATCAAATCCTGTTTTTTCTCTTCAGTTACTTCCACCGAATCAGCCAACTCAATAATAACAGCAGGTTGGAAGCGGGCCTGGCCGACAACTATTGCTGAGCGTACATCGGGGTGTTCATTGATGGTCTGTTCTATTGTGATAGGATTTAGCTTCTCGCCATTGGAAAACACAATGATATCATCTGATCTACCCCGGTAGGCCCAAAGATCTGGTTTTGTGGGATTTTTTTCATATAAATCTTTTGTGGAGATCTCGTTGAGCTCAGGGAAGGTGTGGAACAACCCTTGCCACTTTTGCAATTTTGGATTCCGTATCATAAACATCTCATAGAGGCCGTCGCTTGTCTCGACAAATTTAAGCCCATTGTTGGGGTGGAATTTAAAGTATCTCCAATCCTCTCTTCCTGTCTGAATGAGTGCGAATAGGGAAGCTTCTGTGCTTCCAATGAAATTGAGAAGAGTTGTGAATTTTGCAAGGATATCTCCAGCCTTTTGCCCAAGTGGTCCACCACCAAAGCCAATAAACTTGATATTTTTCCTTTGAATCCATTGTAGGCTCGAGGGAGAGAATGCCAACTCTTCCACTGTTGATGGAGCAAGCATCAAGCCATCAACGCCGGCATGTTCCATCATGTCGTCTACTAGATTGGAAGTTATTGGAGCTGACGGTAATGCCTGTACGATATTGAGCCCGTAATACAATGTGCTGACCAGGTTCATGTAAAAACCAGCGGCATGGAAAGGTGGAAAAGTTGAAAATTGTCTACTTCCTTGCCATACATGCAAGTGAAGTTGTTCTCCGTCTGTACACGGTGCCAACCGATTGGCATCCAAGCACGCAATTAAAGCGTTTTTTATGACAATAGGTTTAGGAAGACCTGTTGATCCAGATGTGTGCAGGACGAGAGCAGGTTCAGTAGATGCCTCTGCCCACGTTTTATCATAGGCATAGTGTGGAACCGGGGTCTCGTCGAGAAAGAAATTGAGCTCTGGACAATCGAGAACGGTCATAGAGTGGACCTCGAGTACTTCGCCGATATTTCCAGTACCTTGACTGGGTAGTAACCAAATGTTACACTCGGCTTGTTTTATGACATTGAGATGTCCCTCGATACTGTTCCGGGGAGAATTGAGAAGAATCTTATAACCAGTTTTCATGAGTGCCAAGGGGAGGATTTGATATCTCATATCCGCTTTAGAATAGTTAGCGCACAGCCTCAAGATGGTCGCATAAGAGTTTAGACTGACTAGGACCAACATATCCTACTGTTGGAAAGTTATTCCCCTTTCCGAGCGACTTTTCAATCCACCAAGCGGCCCTGTTAACCGCATTGGCGAGACGCTTGCTTGATATATCAACGAAGCCATCTACCGCCTTTGTAGTTTTCGCCAATGAAAATATGATACGATCAGGATTGTCTGTAGCTTCTTCGTCGACCACGTTGGGCAGCAATCGCTCTCCATAAACTGGAGCTTGTCTTTGAACTGAGCCCATAGTTATGCGGTAAGGTATAATGAGTTAAGTGATGAATTGGTAAATTTTGCAAAGTTTTTGATTGTGATCAGGAGTAGTGTTGAAGTCTATTGCAAGCTGTGGGAAAATGATATGATGATATGCTGCTGCTGCTGCTGCTGATGATGATGATGATGAAGGAAAAGAAAGATCGAGGCACTTGAGGTTGAGAGGAGGATAAACCTTTTATATGAATAAATTCTCTGATCTTTGGTGTAGTACATGTCCTTATATCACATATCACTAAGATATTCTAGTCCAAACCCTCATTCGACCAATCAGAATGGCTAGCAGCGAGTGTTATTGGCGGAATTGTGAATGATGCCGTCCGAAGCTTAATTGATTGCCCACTCCGACTCAACGCCCAAATATCCATATTTTAGAGCTTAAAAAAAGTATCCATATGCGGAGATCTCGGAAGTGTTTCTGTGTCTGTAAACGCCCGGTTCCCCATACAAATTGGAAACTTTGCATCTATTTCATGGATGAGCGACGACATCCTCCTTGCATCAACACCCACAGCTACCAGAGATTGGAAGTTCATGTTCGATATTTGGTGGTTGTGCACATCGGCCGATCGGATAAGTCGGAAGTTACGAAATGATAACCGGTTAAGATGTCAAGATCTTAACTTCACGACAACAACGGGTCATCGGGCGGCTTTCTCATAAGAACCGCCCTCGAGGACATGCCGCTCGTCACAAATGTATAATCAACTCACCGCTCAACGATCTTTCTTAAAGCAGTTAGCATCAGCCTTGACAGTGATGATGTGGGCCGAGAAGATCATGAAGGTTCTATGGGTGGGGTGTGTCAAAAGGATGTTTGCCGATTTACCCTCTACCCTCAATACCCTCAGCAGGTACCATACCATACCTACCTACCCTACCTAGTACAAACTGAGCTACTTATGTGTGTTTCGGCAGGTATGAGAGCCGCGCTTGGATAACGATGTGATCGTTGCAAAGTTATTCCGAAGCACTAAACACTAAGCAGTGAGCATCACAGTTCAACACGCAATCAGAAGACCGTGTTGTTGTTGTTGCTAAGAAAAGTGGATCGATCAATCAGTATCGCATCCAGACAATTGGATCAAAAATAAAGTTTATTATATATTGCCAAACCGAAAAGATACTAATCTAGGAAAAGCTTGATTCACGTGATATGCCTAATGAACTCTGTTGGCTTCTAAATTTATGATGCCTGTTGTGACCTTACGTACCCGTTTTAAGGTTTGATAACTCAAGGAACTTTCTGTGGACCATAGTTCGATGTTCTAGCTTTCGCTCGTTGATGTAACCCCCACATGTCTGCAACCTCAAGGCTTGAATTCTCTTCTTTTTCTCCTTCATAATGCCTCGAATGGTTGTTGATGACAAATCTCCCAGTTGAGTGCTACAACTTGCAACCGCCCAACAAAACGATCTTCTACCAGCCCCTGAAGATTGATCGATGATCGTTCCGTCACAAATATTGAGCAATTTTGGGCGACGTCATGTAGGTGGTTCGATCGGAAGATGAAGAATATGGATGATGCATGTACATCACTATTCTTTCGGCTCTTCTTCTACATGAACATGGATGCCGGTAGAAGGAAGACGATGAAGAATCAATATGAGCGGGTAAGGGATGTCAAGAGCGGAAAGGTCGGGAATAGACTTGTCAACAACCGCATGCTAAATATCGATGCATATCTCATGATTCATCTCTGAAACATGAGCATATTGACGCAATATGATCATGATTCTCAGAGAAGCTTTTTACGGGAGCAGCCGCGTCATTCCGGAATCATCTATTTTGAGTTAGCATGCATACATTTGATGTCTCTGATAATTTGGAACAAATGGCATTTGATTCACAAACTACTCGGTAGATCTTGTACCAGCAAATGCCGCTTCGCCGCCACTAATCCCGCTCATTATCCCTTAGATATCATTGCCGTTACAACCGAGAACGCGCTTCAAACCAGAGAAGGCTTCTTTTTGATCCCTAATGCTGCAGCATGATCCTTTTTCTTTTTTACAACCCGTTTGAAGCTCGGAGGTGGCATCGCTAATGCCTCCTCTTTAGTAATCTTTGGTGCTGGTCCTGCACCCGCGTCATCAGTATCATCCTCTATGATCTCCTCCATAGCCTCTTGTCTTCTCAGAAAAGCCCTTCGGGCTGCCTCTTCGTCCTCCCTTTCTTGCCTTTCCCGTTCTAAATCAACATTTTCTCGAGTCACTGTGACTTCCGTTCCATCCTTCCCGACTCGTTCATTCCTTGCGTTTCTTGTGCGAATCTCATCCAATGCATCAGCGACAGCCATTTCAGTTTTTGCCTCTGCGGTTTTATCTTCTAACTCCTGCATCGCATCTCGCTCTTGTTCTTCTCTTTCCAAACGATCCAATCTCTCTTCATCACTCTCTTGAAGACCTCCTCCATTCACACGCCATGGTTCCGTATTCCGTTTCGCGCCACGCTCACATTGATAATCCATATTTTTGGGATCTGTCTTGAATGTAATTTCGCCGGAACATCTCGTACATTTGATGTAAAATCTATAAATGGAAATAGCCAGGTACTTTTCCTCTGTAGTTTCTTTGCGCGCATTAAATTTTCGACCTTTGTAAATATATTCTCCACATGCAGTACATTTCATGGGAAACGGTGCCATCAAACGGACTGTCTGTACTTTTGGACCTGCTTGTTTCGGAGCGCGCGACCGAACAATCTTCGAAGGATCAAAATCGGGTGGATAATATTTGGTGAGAACTTTTCGTTCAGACATCTTTAATTAAGTTGCTGTGATGAATCTTATTATGATCGTAGTTTTGAATTTGCAGATGTCCAAGTGATTGAGGATGATGAAGTTGGGTGAGTGGAAACAATTAGTGGATAATGGATAATAGAGAGAGAGAGACGAGGCGACGAAGTTATTTTGGTTCACTAGGTAGTCCAGCGTGGTACAATCTTGTGCAACATTTGTGCAACATTTGTGCAAATTATGCAAGATCAAAGTCTTTATCGCCCTAGCCTCGTGCCATAGCTCAAACTGATAACCATAAAATATCTCAGCCTCGCGTCACCCCACGCAACTACCTCTCCATGAAAACAAACAATAAACCTAAACTTCTCTCACTTTGTGTACTCGAGTAGGCTTTTTGACATTGATTGTTGTATCTCTTGGGATTAATTATATAGGCACAACTCATCATATAAGAAAGATATGGAGAAATTCTTGAGAGATTGGCGACAAGATGCTATGAATAAACACCAATACGACTCGGCAATTTTCATTGGAGATAAATTGCTAGCAATAACAAGTACAATCATTCCGATGCTCCTCCTGGTCAATCGTTGGTTCTAATTACTTTATAGAGAGCGATAAAGATGCCTTTTGGCTTGCCCAAGTTCATTTCTCCACCGGAAACTATACCAGGGCCCAAAGCTTTCTCACTAAGCAAGACCTAATAGCTCGAAACCCTTCCTGTCGGTATCTTGCAAGCCATTGTCTAATAAAACAATCAAGATTTGAGGAAGCCTTGAGTATACTTGGCGAAAAGAATCCTACACATTTAATATCAACGACTGGTCATAACAGAAAGAAGTTACAACATACGAGAGGGCATGCCCGGAATGGATCAACAACACAGAGTGGTCGGCACAGGCAGGACGAGATAGCCAAGGATGAAGCCGCAAATATTAAATTCGAAGCTGCAATGTGCTTTCTACGAGGGCTTTGTTATGCCAAACAAAATGCTTTCGATAGGGCGAAAGAGTGTTATAAGGATGCGGTACGAATAGATGTACAGTGCTTTGAAGCATTTGAGCAGCTCATGAAGAATTGTTTGATGTCTCCAGAAGAAGAATGGCAATTCTTGGAATCTTTGGATTTCGATACTATTTCCGTTACCGACGATACTTCATCCTCTCAAGAGGCAGCCGAATTTACAAAAATGCTTTATACTACTCGACTTTCGAAATACAAGAATCCGGCGGCTTTTACAACAGCGACGGAAACGCTATCAACACATTACAATCTTGCTACAAATCCTGATCTTTTATTGTCAAAGGCGGATTTATTTTTCACACAATGCAGGTTCAAAGATGCTTTAGCCATTACAAATTCTATTCTTGAGGAGGACAAGTATAACTTTAGTATATATCCTTTACATCTGGCATGTCTGTACGAACTACAGCTTAAGAATGCCCTTTTCTTAGTGAGTAAAGTGATCTTTTATCTCTCCGAAATACTTGGAAATTTCCAATTTCTTATTCGCAACTCAACAGATGGCTCTTGTTTGGGACCATGCAAAGGTTTTGGCAGAACAGCCTGGCCTCTACGAGAACGTTCAAATGATAAATGTATGTCAGATCAAAAATGCTAATATGTTATTGACAGGTATCACACGACCTAGCAGATAACCATCCAGAAGAGCCATGTACTTGGTTAGCTGTGGGTATATATTATTTGGCTATAAACAAAGTCGCTGAAGCTCGACGTTATTTCAGCAAAGCAAGTATGATGGATCCTCATTTTGGACCTGCTTGGATCGGATTCGCCCACACGTTCGCAGCAGAAGGTGAACATGATCAAGCAATCTCGGCATACTCGACAGCTGCACGACTTTTTATGGGTACTCATCTGCCTCAACTATTTCTAGGCATGCAAAATCACATGTTAAACAACATGACCCTAGCCGATGAATTCTTAAAAACAGCATACGAATTATGTAAGACCGATCCATTACTCCTTAATGAAATGGGAGTAGTATTTTACCACCAAGAACGACTCCAGGATGCTGTTTTAATACTAAGGAAAGCTCTTGAAATTGCGGAGGAAATTGATAGTGATCCACAAGCTTGGATATCCACTCGTTCAAACCTCGGACATGCATATAGACGTCTCCATCAGTGGGATGCCGCATTGATAGAATTTGATGAGGTGCTTCGACAAGGTGGAAAAGATCCAGCTATTTTTTGCGCGAAGGGTTTGGTGTTGATGGAGCAGAGGAAACCTTTTGAAGCGGTTTTGATGTTCCATGAAGCACTTGCTATTTCACCTCAGGATGCAATTGCGACGGAATTGCTCAATAAGGCATTGGAGGAAACTGCGGTTCATGGGATTAATGGAAGTAGGATTTTTGATGAGGAGGAAGATGAAATTGAGAGGGAGTTATCGTTGAGAAAGGACGAGGTTTTGGCTAGTTTAAAACTTAATAAAGTGAAAGGGAAGGGCAAATCGAGGAGTAGAGTGGTGGTTAATGAAGTTAATTTGATGGATGTTAGTGATGGGGATTAGGGTTTGAATTGTCAAGATCTGTTCAAAGGCCAAGACTTAGAATTGGGATAGGTGGGAATGATGAGGAATTTGAGCTGGGATACTTTTTGCGTTTTATGCATCTGGTGGAGGTTCTATTTATCCTCTGAGGGCGTATAATGGTGGGAAGAAAAGCAAATCGGGAGAATAGGAGGATAAATGGGTAATAATGGGTAAAGAATGCATTGTGAATGGCGTATAGCATATAGCATTTAGAATTTACCTACCTATTCGCTAATAAGAAATGATTTAACGTGGTTTATCAGTATGTGCACCATATCAGCATGTGCACCACTTTTACCTCAATTATTATCTTTCCACTTCAATACGCGATTTATCAACAATCTATAATACAATCGAATAATAAAGAAGCTCAAATACTCTTAGCTATCGAAGCTATTCGAAAAGATAAAAAATTAAGCATTCGGAAGACTGCAAAGCTATATAATATATCGCATACAACACTTATCCGCAGAATGAATGATTTAATCCCTCATATGGAATTTCGACCAAAAAGCCATAATTTGACTGATTTGGAAGAGGAAGTACTTATTCAATATATACTCGATATGGACAAGAGAGGGTTTAGTCCTCGAATAAATGATGTGGAAGATATGATGAATTATATACTCGAAACGTAGGGTGTGAAGAAGGTTGGAAAGCTCTAAGCTTATCGCTTTGTGAAACGATATATAGAATTAAAAATGTGTTTTAATCGCGTTTATGATTTTCAAAGAGCTTTCTGCGAAGATTCAGAGCTTATTGAAAGATGGTTTCGATTGGTATCGAATATATAGGCCAAATACAGTATTCTGAATTACAATTTCTACAACTTCGATGAGACAGGTTTTATGATAGAACAAATATCATCATATATAGTAGTTACTAAAGCTGATCGATATGGAAGAAGCAAAGCTATACAATCAAACAATCGGGAATGGGCTACAGCGATTATTTGTGTTGATGGAGAAGGTCACAATATACCTTCGTTTTTTGTGTGAACGAAGTGAATGACTCCAATTCAATTACTACTGTAATAAAGAACTAAGCGAACGCGAAAGAGACTAGCTCTTTTAGTAAGTCTATATAAGACTTACTACTTTCAATATGTAGCTAGCTCTTTAGACAGAATACAATTAGACATACAGGACCTACGTAATCCGTGGGTGCTACGTCTTCCGTATCCTTCTCGTACCAACATTTTTGATAGTAAAAGGCGAATACCATCTCTCAAATTGGTATACCGAAGGCGATTTACCATACGATTGGCTTATTAAACCTACTATCAATGGATGGACAGATAATGAGACAGGTCTTGAATAGATTAAGCACTTCAACAAACATACTGAAAGTAGGAAAGTGGATATATATCGAATGCTAGTGCTTAATAGATATAAAAATCATAAATCACCAGCATTTCAGGAATACTATAAGGAACACAATATTATATTACTTAGTTTACTATCTCACTCTTCGCATTTAACTCAATCACTTGATATCAGTTATTTTGGTCCTTTAAAGCGTTCATATAATCGACAAATCGAGAACTTTATCAAGGTATATATCACTCATATTATCAAAACTAAGTTCTTTCAAACCTTTAAAGCTACATATATCGAAGCAATATCTATATCAAATGGTAAAGCTGGGTTCCGCGGAGCTGGGCTAATCCCATTTAATCCGGAAATTGTACTTTCAAAGCTAGATATTCGAATAAGAACTTCATCAAATAGATCAATATCAGCCGATCCTGATATATGGCAATCTCAAATATCTCATAATCCAATTGAAGCTCTCTCTCAATCTACTTTAGTGAAAAGTCGTATTGCTCGGCATCAAGGGAGCTCACCTACTCCAATATTTGAAACAGTTGCAGCTTTAGCTAAGGGTACAGAGCTTCTAGCTTATACAAATACGCTTTTAATTGTTGAGATTCATAATCTTTATAAAGCAAATGAAGTATTTAGTAAACATTAAAGAGTTAAAAAAGCTTTAATACGAAAAGGAGGAGCACTTTCAGTAGGGAATAGGCATAATATATTAGAGCAAGAGAATGTAGATTATCAGATACAATACGACGAATATACAAATGATGATTCTTCAACGAGAAGGCAAGCTACTATACGACGATGTAGCAAATGCGGTAGTACTTCATATAATGCACGAACTTGTCAATTAGATCCAGCATTAATTGATCCTTAGATTGTGTATAATTTAATTCTATTTTATAATGTTGTTGTAATTTTATTTTAATTGAAAGATAATAATTGAGGTAAAAGTGGTGCACATGCTGATATGGTGCACATGCTGATAAACCACGTTATTGATGAGTGTTTATGTAAGAATTATATTGAGAAGATTTGTGCGTGTATTGTTATAAATTTGAGTGTCAGTGTGATGGAATAATGGTGGGTAGATAGAAGTAATCTATAATTGTAAATAGATAGATAAGTCTCATCTTTTTATCTAACGCCAGGATTGGAGTTAAATTGTAGATTTACTTATTATTTGATGTTTATTAACATCTATCCTCTCCTTTTTCTTATCCCCGTCCTTTCTTAGCCTTCTATCTCACCAAGGACCCTTCTTTATTTCCTGTCTTCACCACAAATACCTCTAGCACCCTAACAACCTTCCCCCCTCGAAGTTTTTCCACCAAATTCCAAATGCAATACTCTCCTTCTCTAATTAATCCTGGTCCTATGTACGGAATCTGGACCAACTGTCGTTCTCCCTGATTTTCTGGTGCGTGATATAAGTGATCTGCTATCCGATGCAATAATTACTCCAAATACTATTTATTTTTTTCTTCGTGGAGGGAAATTGAGTTGTGATTTTTGTAAGGGGGTTCTTTTTCATTGATAATTTTTTCCTTTTGAAGAGGGAGGTGCAAGGGTTTTGGGGATGTGTATGTATGTGATATAAATCTTCTGTTCTGAAGTGGATTTTAAGGTGGGAGCTATACACATAGATATATACATATGAATTCAATATATTGTTTTCTTTTTACTTTTTCTTTTATTATAAGATCTTATATCTATATATCTGATTTTTCGATTCCAAAGGATAATTGCCATACAAAAAGGAAACTTTCCACATCTAGCAAACGTTCAATTTAATAATTATATCCATAAATGACAACATATGAAGAACCCCCTATTCCAAAACAACAACAGCTGAATAGCACAAAGCCATCGCCATACCCAAAGTAAGATACGATATTTTCATATACCTACGAAGATATTAGAAAACACGGAGGATTTGAAGTTACTTAGCAGGGACCAATGAGAAGGTTGAGAAAAGGGCTTCCAAGAATTATTAATACCGAGCATTAGCATGTAGCCCTGTGGAGATGATCATGAAGAGATAAGCTTTAGGATTTTGGAGATTGAAGGAGATTAATGATTGTGGGTGGAAGAGGGGAGGAGGATTGGGAGGATATGGGTGTGATAGTGTTTGAGATTGGTGGTGTGGTGGTGTTGGGGAATAGGAGTCTTGAAGTGGGAAATTAACATGATTTGGCTGGGTTGAAGATATATTGAGATCGCAAACATTCATTCCCTGAGGTTTTGTGAGCTTGTCTTTTTAACTTTTTGGTGCAAGCACACCTCACCTGGCGGGAAGTATGCAACTTTGTATAAATGAAATCCCGTAACGTTTCGACCAGTGAAGACGGCAAAAGCCACACTTATAGAGCTTTAGGTTTTCTGCACAAGCATAACTTAACTTACAAGTAAGTATAATTACGAGTTTGCACAATATCATATCTCGCAAAGTTTCGACCATGGTAGAAACACAGCAAATCCACATTTAACCAACTATCTCATTGCATAATCGTGGTACTTACTGTAATGGCGGAAGTACTCACCCCCTCATTCAAAGTATACTTCCCGAGTCATTCATGCTAAATGAGAACAGACGATTTGGCAACTAAAAGACGCAGTATATGCAATACGACGAGGAAATATCCTTCTTCGCCACAACCGTATATGAATACGAAAGGTATCAAGCATGAAATGTTTCGACATCTCAACACACAGACACTTTTATTCTCCAATTCCATGATCAGCTGGAAATATTCGACGGTAAGGGAAAGTCTGGATCTTGCCACCGGATGAACAGAAGGAATGCATGAATAAAGGTACTCGAATAAAAGCTTCAATTTGACTAAATCTATCCACTCATCTACGTAGGTAACTCCAGGCCTTCAACTTGAAGACTGCTAGTACTTGTGGCTGTGTGAACAGATGGTTATGCGACAATGAGGCTCGTGCAGTGGAAATATGGATTTTGTTTGTTTCAGCCTACGATGAATGTACGTATATGGTTAGAGTAAGAGATCTTACGATGATGGCCGACGATGATAACCCATTCTCCTGCCTAGAAGCCTGAACGACACCGGAAGGAATAGAAATGGCCATGGCCCCTCAGTGGGGAGCAAAAAATGCATTGAGAGCGTTTATCTTGATAACCAATGAAGGATCCATATCGATACCTAGCTATGTTATGTTATCTCGCAGGAACAGGATTGAAGGATTGAGGTCGCATCTGCTTCTTTATAATCGAGATATGACGATTTGTCCGTCTATGACCCCCAAGTACCGACCGCATGTGAATACAATCACCGAAATGTGCCTCTTCAACCGTGTCTCTCAACCGTGTCGAGACGTTGTGTGTTTCATCATCAGCTTAATCATGAGGAATGTGATCATCCAATCAATAAAAATAACAAGGGATAATTAATTGTACATGATCGACAGAATGTCCGAGGTAATAAGTAATGTTCGGACGAGCAAGCATCTTGGTAAACGAAACAACATTTCCACAAAGATGGAATTCCAGAAAAGGAAAAAATGTACGATATAATAATAGGTAACAATCTGATATTCGGTACATGATTCTTGGCGCCCAAAGATCGGGTCATTTATGGATCAGAGGATTCAAGGGCAATACTCGGGTAGCTGAAGCCTTGAAGTTTTTCCTTGCGTTGGTGGATAGATATTATGGATTCTCACACTGCGTGATGACTATGCGACCGTGGCGGCAACCTCACCACTTACAAGGAGAATTCAACACAAAAAAACACGATTGGATAGCCCCTGCCAAGATGTTTACTGCAGCTCTCTTGTGCGGGGAGTATTTTTGATAAAAAAGGGGGGTTATTCATAATCTTAGCGTGTATGCGGGACGATTGGCGTTTTTGACATTAAGGAAAATTTTGATGTTTCAAGGGTTTGGTTCTGCAGGAACAGGAATGGGAAGAGGAAAAGAAAATGATTTGTTTGGATGACTGCATTACTGTCATGTAATTGGGGTCTGGGGTCTGTAACGTCCATACGGTACGATCAAATCTGTTCGTTGGTCCTGACTGCAAACGGAACCATGGGATGATGATCGTATCGTTTATTCAATCCATAGATTCAATACAATGCAGACAATATCTAAGATGAACGAAACGATTCCATGATTGTAAGAACATTCACTGGTTGTGAGTTGGTTGATCTCCCTATGAATCAGAGAAAAATCATCTGGAATAACCTCATTCTTCAGATGATTTTCTACTTCTACGCACCGTGGATATCACTCCAGACCAATAAATCTGAAGATTCGTCTTTCCGGTGGCACAGTATGTACAGCATAGAGTTTCGCCATCAACCGAAGCAAGGTACACGAGCCTATCAATGCTATTTTCGCCCCTGCAGACTTTCAATCATTCAATGTCTGTGCGAAACCACATATCCATTGCCCCATCCATATGTGGACGCGTCTATCCACATCCATCCACATCCATCCTAAAATGTACGAGAGGGCAATGCTTCAGATGCATTTCTCTTCAATCACATAGCCACTTCAACTGGTCATGTCTTATGTGTAACCACATCTAGCTCTAGCCCTAGGAGAATCTTCCGTACAGGAGTGGAGTTGAGATCCTTAAGACCCTTGAACTTTGCAAAAAGGGCGTTTGTCGACAAAGTAGATGAAGGGTATGCGGGCAGACCATAGCCAATTAAGCCATGGTTTCCGACCTTCCTTGCTGCAGTTCCTATCCTTCTCTATTCACTTGGGTCGAGAAGCGCGTTCTTTTCATCCATGTCAATTTTATGTGAATCTTGATTGACACACAGACAGAGGAATATAAGATGGACAAGCCGTCCCACCATGAATTATCTCAACATCATTCTCTCAATTCACTCTCCGTCGAGCACTTGCATCTTCCTTCAAAGGCCGAAGCCTTTCGTCTTCCATTTCTTGGATTATTTTATTTTTCGTTTGTCTGCGACAATAGAAAATATTTTCAATACGTCTTACATTCCTTGAGATACTTTCAGTGAAAGAACGAATACCATTCCTTTATTGACACATTCAAGAACTATCGAATTTCTTGATCTCGAACAATCAATTCTTTGAATAGGTACGTGAAACAATTTTCAGTTTCTTGTTTTCATTGCGAATCTTCTTGTAATTCTGAAAGTCCTTTTATGATTTGATTTCATTTTGTCTTTGTTTTCCTATACGGTTGTTTTGTTGTTGTTATATGAGACAATAGAATTCGGTTATTACACATTTTAATGTGAATCTTCTTTCTCTATTGAAGTGTCATAGGAGAAGGTGAATAACACGAATAATCTCTTCGATTACTGTTCCTTTCTATTCATAACAATGAACAATCATTTCTTTACTGCTACGAATCTATTTTTCTATTGTGTTATTTCGAGAACAGTCAGCCCCCTCGAGAGATATAAACTCGACATTCCGACTGACCTCGACTTTTTTTTTCATTCCAGATTTCAACCACATCCATTTACTACACATACATAACGATCTTTCAAAATCACCAACGGTCTTTCAAAGTACACAAATAGTAAACACTATACAACAACCTACCACAAAGATTTTTCCGTCAGGCACGATTAAAATCTACGAACACTCATTCATCATGGTTTCCAAATCAATCGTCGTAGCATTTGCTCTCGCAGCCGTCAGCAATGCCCACATGATTATGACCAGTCCGGTACCATACGGAGTCGACACACTCAACAGCTCTCCCTTGGCCGCTGACGGATCCGACTTTCCATGTAAACAACGATCTGGAGTCTACGAAGTCACCACTCAAAACAGCATGGATCTCGGTGGTTCATACGATCTCGCATTCAAAGGTAGTGCCGTCCACGGAGGAGGATCTTGTCAAGTTTCCATCACCTACGACGAGAACCCAACTAAGGACAGTACATTCAAAGTGATTCACTCCATAATCGGTGGCTGCCCCATGCGCAACATCGCTGGAAACAACGGTGATAACGCCAACGCCATCGATCCAGATACATACAATTTCACGATTCCCACCACGCTCCCAGCAGGCAAAGCAACTCTCGCCTGGACCTGGTTCAACAAAATCGGCAATCGCGAAATGTACATGAACTGCGCGCCAGTCACTTTAAGCGGCGGTTCTAGCAAACGCCACGAGCTCATCGAACGCGACCAAGCAGCCTACAACGCTCTCCCCAACATGTTCGTCGCCAATATCGGAGACGGTTGTGGAACCGCCGATTCTTTGGATGTGGTTTTCCCTAACCCAGGTGATTCGGTTGAATTTGATGGTGGTGCTACTTCAACAGCTACTGCCGCCCCTACTGGTAATTGCGCTGCTGCTACAGGCAGTGCTACTTCTCCGAAGACTACTGGGGGGGCTGCCGCTGGAGGGGCTACTTCTCCCGTTTCGGTTGGTACTGCTCCGACTGTTTCAGTTGGTACAGCTCCTGCATCAAGTCCTACTTCTCTTCCAGGAGGTGTATTTGTCAACATTTCTAGCTTGAGTGGTAGCCCCGATGCTTCCGCAAGTTCTGCAACATCCGCAACTTCACCAGCTGAAGTCGTTCCTGCCGTCGCCACTACCGCCATCAGCGTCCCCACAGTCGCAACCTCTGCTCCCGCAGCAACAGGTACCGGAAGCTCTTCTTCTTCTTCTTCTTCATCCTCAACTACCCCCTCATCAGGAGCCCTCACAGGCGCTTGCACCAAAGACGGAATGTTCAACTGCATCTCCGGGACATCATTCCAACAATGTGCTAGCGGCATGTGGAGCGTAGTTCAAGAAATGGCCACCGGCACTACATGTAACGCCGGCCAAACCATGGATTTGAAGATTGCAAAGAGAAACGGAATGGGATTGATGCGACATGTTGTTCGAAGAGGATTAGGTGGGGAAATGTTTGTTTAATTCACTATACTTACTTTTGGTGATTTTCTCATTCTTTACCTACCTACCTACTCTCAAACTGATCTTTGAGATTTGAGATTTGAGATCGCAGGACGTTCTTGAATCGTGTGTGTTGAGTCGATTCGATTTGATTAGACATCTTTTTCTTTTCTTACCTTCTTTCTTCCTTGCTTTTTCCTGCAAATTTAGCATGATAGCATTTCCACACAAGCATAGCACATCACAGCGCGCATTGCATCCCTACTGAATTCTCACATTCATTCATCTTCTATTTCCATCATCAAATTGTTTACACTTTAAATTTGTACATACAATAACTACTTTTTTTCTTTCTACTTAACCTCTTCTTTTTTTCTCTCTATCTCTCGTGTTGTTCTCTTTCTTTCTACTTTCCGTTTCTTTTTCTTGTGATACTCACTACACTACTCTCTACACGCGCGCACACACACAATACAACAACGACAATAATGAATTTACGATATCATATGATATGATACAGTCCGGGTGGATGGAGGGAAAATCGTATTTTCTTTTTCCTTTTTCTTTGTGCTTTTCTTTCCTTTGGGTTTGGTGCATGGGTTGGTTGGGACTGGATGGTATGGACTGGGCTGACTGGACTGGAGTGGTGCATGGGCTTGGTGGTATGGGGAATATAAGAGATATGTAGATAAATCAATCACATAGATGACATAGATATGTTTCAGAATAACATGACAAGTTCCAAATCCAGACAAACAGATAGATAGACAGAATAAATACAAATACAGTGGATTTATATGAGATGTTAAGCAGAAAACACAAACTAGGAACCTGAAATAAAAATAATCTAATATAACGTAACTTATGGTGAACCGGGTCATATGGGGAACCGGGTCACAAAATTCAATTCTCTCTATGTGATCTTGTTCTACGAGCTACACATTCATCCAATTCCAACTCTAAATCACTTGAACTACTCTCTGGCTCTTCTTCTTCAGTCTCCTCTTCTAATTCTTCAATTGGACGTTTACGTGGTCGCCCTCGTGGCTTTTTCTCCTTCGGTTTTTCCTCCGCCTCACGTACCATTTTCAGTACTTCCTCACTACTAAAGACAAATTGACCTTGTAATTTGACTCTTTTGCCTTTAGTTCTCTTCTTTCGAGTCTCAATTACTTCCTGAGCATCAGCGAGCTGTTTCCGAAGTAGGGCTATCTCAGCATTTTGAGATTCTATAAGCCTAGTCATTCTCTTGGCATATCGACGAGTTGGTGATGTAAGAGAATCATTATCTGCTAGAGCTTTATTAAAGGTTTGATTTGCTTGCCTTAGCTCTGTCCCATCTGGAGGAGAGCTCCTGAGTATAGATAAGTCTAGATCTTGATTGGACATTCTCATTTGTGGAGTAGAAGATTGCTGGGAGGAGTTAAATGGTAATGAATCGAGTACTTTTCGTGGGGCAAAAGGTATTAAACCAGCTCCTCTTCAATCAGCTTTAATATTAGAAGAATTCAATGCTTTTTTTCTAATATTTTGAAAGAGTTCTACCCATTCAGCTCTTTGAATTCACTTTACACCAGCTCGAGAATATCAATCGACCTCTAAAGCATGATATCGTTTCATTGGCCCATACACCGCAATATCAAGTAATTGAAGCAAATGGGAGCAATGAGGAGGTAATATAAGTAAATCGATTTCCTTCTCTATACAGAAAGCAATAAAGCTGCCTGTAATATGATTTGAATGGCCATCCATGATCAAAAGTCGAGGTCGGTCACCTGACACTTTCTTGGATTCTGGTTCGAAAACCCTTTTTAGCCATTCTAATCCATGACTATTTGAGGTCCATCCATTCGTACTTGTAGAAAACTGCCAGCTTTGAGGCATGTCCTTTGGAATCCATGCAGAATTCGTATTCTGAGCCTTGAAAATGATCATAGGTAATAGAGCCTTTCCAATTGTATTGACATATTCAAATGCAGTTATCCATTCTTGCTTGCCAGCTGTAACTTTCCAATTCGATTTCTGAGTAGAATCGATTATAATACATGTACTTTGAGTACTTCCAACTCCAAATCCGGTTTCGTCCATATTATACATATCATCTAATTCATACTTTCGTTCAATAAGACATATATGAAACACATCAAACCAAGCCTAAATATTCTTCAGAGTTGCTACTTTAGCCCGATTAGACTTTAATTGATGTAAATAACATGTTTTAAGTTCTGGATGTCGTTTTTGGAATCTATAGATCCATTCGTGGCCTATAGGTGGAATTTCTGTCGAGGTAGGAATTCGAGATGACACGACCTGAACGCATCGAAGACGAATTTCGTCGGCTATTTCCTTCACCAACATAGGTATAGCAGGGAATCCAATGATGGTAAGTCGTGAAATCCATCGTACAAGAGTATTTTCTTCTGCGTTTGAAAGAATTTGAGCCATTTCGTAGGATTGAGTACATGATTTCCTTCCAGCGACCCTAGTTATAAGAGTTGACTTAGGAACTTCAAAATACTCTGCAGCCTTTCTAATTGATTTAAAGTCCTTCAATTGAAGTGCAATAATAGCATTCTGTATCTTCTCTTCAATTTGAGAAGGCGTAAGAGGTGATTCGGTATGCATAGCAAAATTTGTTGGGGTTTGAAGTCAGTGATGGGCTAAATGTGACCCGGTTCCCCATATGACCCGGTTCACCATAAGTTACGTTACTCGAGTTATATATTTCCTGGTAATCTAATGATTTCATGGATAATCTATCTCTTTATGATATAATATCAGTATATCACATCTCCAACCCTTCAGAGTTCAAAATCCACTATTTACTGTTAAGTTAATATTTATTCCTAACGTCATTTTTATATACTTCACATACTTTGTAATATCTATCCACCCATCTTACTAATCTATCTAATCCATCTATTTAATATATTCAAACTTTCTACCGAATTTCAACACATGATACGAGTATATAATCACTAACCGCCCATCCCAAATTTCTACCCCCACTCGGATGGACGGTAAATTTATAAGGAAGGATATTGAGGTTCTTGTAAGTCTTCCCTAGCAGAGAGGACTCACTTATGAAAGTCCTGGACTTTTCTGATGTGGGGTTTGAGAATCAGGTTAAATAGTTGATATCTTTTTGCAGGAGATGTATGAGAGACTTGGGTTTTGTGGAAAGAAGGTCATTTGTTTGCCGGGGTGGGTTGGTGGATAGTGGAAGAGGTGTTATGATGGGTATTGAAGTCTATTATCTGGTGGATTGGTTTGAAGGTAATTTGGGCCCGGGATGGTGGTCCAGAGTGTTGAGAGGGCTGAGAGATCTAGGCGTATAAATGTGAATCCGATATCATGCGCATATAGCAAATGCAAATCCATTTCCAAACTAAATCCCCAGCACATCAAGCGACTCAACCTCAAAACCCCCCACTATCTCACTTCTTCCCCTTCTTCCCCTCCCCCTTCTCCACCACAAACCCCCCCTTAACAAACGCATCCCTCGCCACGGCATTAATAACCGCAAACCTCCTCGCCCCCAACTTCTGCCCCCCATACCACCTCGTAACAACGACCATCACATTCCACAAATCCATCAACTGCATTAAATGCAACAATCTCCCTCCCGCCGCCGATTCCCCATCATCATCACAATCCTGATACGTAACCCCATGATCCGTTTTAATGCGCCAAGCTGTAATATTATGAGTTGCCGCGCGAACTTTCTTATCCGTCGAGAGAAGATGTTGTATATATTTGGAAGCGAGGGTAGGAGAAGAGACGGAAATGCAGCGAGCGATGAATGTAGATTTTAATTCTGTGGTTACGGAGGAGAGGATCCAGTTTGGGGTTTGTGCGAGGGAAATATCTTGATTTTGTTTTGGTTCTTCTTGTTTCCGTTCTAGGACTGGATATCCATTCTCTAACTCCTCGGAATTTCTCAATCCTTCTCCTTTTTCTTCTTCATATTCTTTATCTCCATCCATCGCATCACCTGTCCCAAAACCCCCCTCTACCTCTTCAATAACATCAAACAAACAAACCTCACCTACCCTCCACGTCCTCCCTACAACATCTCTCACAAACTCTACCAATCTCCCTGCATCCCCTTTCCTTGCATTTTCACCTGCATGCTGTGTTCCCAATATTACCGGTGGTACATCTGGATACGCGGCCGGAAATTGTATTCGTAGTGATGAATCTTGGTTTGGGAGTGAGAGAATGTATATTTCGTTTATTTCATTAGAGGGACCAGTTTCATGCGCGGAAACGAGGGTTGAGGGACCATAGATAGAGTTTATAGCTTCAATTTCGTTGAGGAGGTCTTCGCTCATTGTGGGTGCCCCTGGGTGCTGAGTTTGAGATTTGGAGGTGAGCTTGGAGGGGTTGATGATTACTAAGCGAGGGGTGGTAAATATTTTAGATGGTTTGGATAATTACCTACCTAGGTATTTTGAGCAATCGATTGTGATGGAATCGATTTAGGCCGGGGTTATGATAGGTAGTGGGTCATAAGACCTGAAAGGAAAGTCATCATTGGGACATTAACGTGAATAAGTATCTTCCTCATGCAAAATATATCTCTATCTTCCGCTCCAGTCTCAAAAATGCAAAAATAGGAAATATGTTCACCCCTTCATGCGGAACCACAACCGTAAATGAACAATGAGGTGGTAGGTTCCCAAATCGAGTTCCAAGACTTCTGACATCCCAAATCAACCAATAAAGTGTCGTTTATTCAATAGTACATTGAGACTTCGACTCCTGTTCTTTTGCAATCCTCTTTTTTTCCTCTAGAATCCATTCATCTTCTCTCTTCTTATCCGCTAACTCTTTTAATTCCTTTCCCATGTCCGTTTTAACGCCTCGTCCGCCGGTGGTATCTCCTTGATCTATGAATTCAACAATACTAATATCGCTTTTCGCAGTATTCGCGTCAACTTCTAAATTCCTAGATTAGTGAGGTCTTTCCCTTCGTTACAACGAGGGTTATTCACGAACCAGCATACTCCTCACTCTCATCTGCCCAATTCTTCAATTTCTCCTGTCTGAAGAAGGCGAAATCCCATTCTCCTTTCTCCAACTCATCCAAATCTGTAAACACATATGTTTGGGCTTCTTTCTCTTCTCCCGTTTCTACCGCTTCCCCCAGAATTGCACTGGGACCCTGTACATGTTCTTTATCTTTTGGAGTCAAGACCTTCACAGTGACAACCTTTCGCTCATATTGGGATCCCTCGAAATGATCCAGATTTCGCATGTTGGAGGGCGTAAGACCTGTGACATAAGTGCCACGAACTGTATGACCGGGCTCGTGAATGATGGCTGGATAGTCAGCGAAGCGGACGCGATGACGACAGTAGTCCGGAAGAAGGGCGGGTGTAATAGTTAGAGATATAGATGAATGCTTAGAAGAACCGTAAATAACGCGGTAAAGGACTTCGGGAGCCATCTATGTGCGAGTGAGTTAGTGATCGAAGGAAGAGGTCCTATAAAAGGATTCCCGAGGGATAGAGGGAGAGAGGGAAAAGGACTCACGAGAGTTCCATAGAAGAATGCATTGTATGTCTCAGGGATAGTTGGCTCTGTGACTTTAGTGTCCATTCTTGCTGCTGTTGATATTAAACCTGTGTATCTGTAGAAACAAAACTTGCTAAATATTGCTATCTCCTGCTTGATAGAGTATAGGTGGAATCGCCGAGATTGAAGAAGTGACGGAGATGCAAACTGTAGGGAATGAAAAGGAACCTAAGAAGATTGTAATATCCTACCGAACTTATAGGAAAAACTTAACTTTGAAATCACATCTCAAAAGAAGTTGTACCTTATGCAATTATTCTTTGTATGGAGGGATTGTATTTAGGCGCCGACAGTTGGAAGTATCCAGCATAGTGTAGAGTGAAGGGATGGGTATTACTGATAAAAAGAAGATAAGAAATTTGTATTAGTCATCGCAGGAAATGAGGGCTAGACTAATCCTTTTAAGGATTAGTGGGAAGTAGTACCGAGAATCCGGGGTTTTGTTACCTGTTTGAGGAAATTCGGAGAAATGAACGGTAACATCGTTATCAATATTGAAACATTATGTATTAGGTAATCTACCAGGCAGTATCGAAATCCAAGACGTTTGGAACTTCGAAATCATCATATGGAGAAAACGCTACAAACGATATTTAGCATCATCTAGATGGTGACTGGTACTCTGTTCTATTCCATTCTTGTCCTAGTCCTCTGCATTCGTCCAATCATTTACATGACAGATATACCCAAACTATCCATGACTCTGTTCCTCCTCAAAGTTTTACTAAGAAATGATTCAGGGAACTCTAAAGTTATCTAGTCTCACCTCCGTCTCTCAATCCTTTCCCTCTTTAGTCCTCCTTTCACGCACCAAAAATCTCCAAAGAGTCATTTCCTACTATATTTCGACGATCATTAGTGCTTCGTATTCTCTCTACTAAATCCCGTATCTCAATACAGGAATTCTAATACTAAGGTCAAGAATTTACTTCTTGGTCACCTATAAGCTCAAAGGCTATACGCATCTTAAATCACACTTACCATATTGACCTTGGCTAGTAACGGGTTTTTGCTATTTAGCTTCACAATAGTCCATTGACGGTTATGATCGAGTGCGAGCTAGGCCTGATCATAGAATTTT